AGTGCATTACATACAATCCAATCCTTAGGATCAATTCTATCAACAATTTCCAATAATATAATCACTAACTAGTATTTCAATACTATTAAGATGATTGTTATCATACAATTATCCTTATTTTATAATTCTTTACATATTTAGAGGCATGTAGCAGCAACTTAAATATTCAATTTCAACACATAAATATTAATTTATGTATCCACACAATTCATACATGAGTAAAAATGTCGATTTCACATAATATTTCATTTATAGCTCATTTAACTCCATATTATCAATATGGCCTCAAGTCATTATCAACTTCATTTCTTATCAAATATATCAATATTTCATCAATATTTAATCATCATAATGCATGAAAAAAATATGATTTAGACATTTAGGTAATCACATGCTTAACCTACAAGTTGTAAGCAATTAGGTGTCGATCCTCACCTTAATTGAACTTTAAACTTTTACTTCTTCATCTAATGATCAAAGCTTTAAACTTTGGTCGAGTTTCGTAAAGATTTGCATACCCGAGAACTTGGATTTCGGCTCCTACATAAGTAGAATTTGTTTGGTACAAAATCAGTATTAGCTTCGGACTCCCGAGATCTGCACCGAGATCACCTTTACAGCCCAACCCGAAGTCTTAATTTCGAAGTTCGCCCGAGTTCCAACTTCGAAGCTGCCTCGAGTTTTGAATTACGCACCATCACCCGAAATCAGTCTCGAATTCTTCATCCGGAATCCAAAATTTTTGTTTCCTTTTCTATTTCGTACCACACCCATGATCCTCCTTTATCTTAATTAACAGTACACGCGCACGATCACCAAAAGTCTATTTTTTCATCACAGATGCATATACAATGGGCAGTGATTCTAGGCCTCCTATTCTAAGGAGAGGTGAATTTACTGTTTGGAAGGCCAGGTTCCTCAATTTTATACGAAGCAGAGAGAATGGACGAAATATTCTTACATCTCTCAATGAAGGACCAGTTGAATATTGGGTAGATGTTCCAGGCGACCCATCCAATAATCCTCCACTTCCTCTAAAGAAGGTTCCAAAACCTAAAGACGCCTATACTGAATCGAAAAATCTAAGAGCTAAAGCTGATCTCCTTGCTACAACATATCTACTGCAATCTATCCCCAATGATCTCTTTATGCAAATTGACAGCCTCACAACAGCCAAAGAAATGTGGGATGAAATTCATCGGAGTATGCAAGGAACTGATATTGGTATAAAAACTAAGCGAGCTCACACTCTTACTGCCCATGACTCGTTCACTGCATGAGTCGAAGAAGATTTGGAAGACACATATCAGCGCTATCTAGTGGTCCTCAATGAGATGAGGAAGATTATTTAACACCCAAAAGACAAACATGGAAGTCAATCTGCGCTTTTTGCGTTCACTTGGGCCAGAGTGGAAGAAATTTGTTAAAAGAATCACGCAAACAAAGGACTTTTGGCTTTCACAATGTCTATGACTGTCTAGGAAAATTCTGTGAAGATGTTCTTGAAAAGGTGAAAGCTTAAAAAGAGAAGAATATTGTTGATTCTCTTGCTCTTCTGTCTACTGAAAGGAAGAAAAGAGAAAAAGCTCCAAAAGTTGTTGAAGCAAATTCATTTGAAGAAGAGAGAAACTTGTCTGATTCTGACCCTGAGATCAATGAGATAAAGAAGGAACTGACCTTGCTAAACAACCTTACAAAGAAGATGAATAAGAAGTTCATGAGGTTCAAATCTTTCATCAGTCCCATCCTCATGTCGGAGCTTGAGGTACTGTTTTATGTTATTCTTTCCTTTCATCTTCGTACTATACTCACTCGGGTCATGCAGGTTCTTCTTCAGCTGATGGAATATCAGGCTCTGTTTCATCTCCCACAGTATGTCAAATACTACCTCCATCCCAAAAAACTTTGCCATTTTCAAAACTTTGACCGGCTATATCTTTTTATTGGAAATGATTTATAATATAAAAGTTATTTGAAAATGTTCTTTTTTAAAAGTAATTTCATAAAAGTATAAAATTTATAACTTATATAATATTAAACTAATCAAAATTAAGGTTCAATTTTTTGGAAATGACAAAGTTTTTTGGGATGGAGGCAGTATGTTTTTTATCTAGGTCATTCGGTTGTGTCCTGTTTCGCTCCCCAGTGGTTCCTACTGGTAAGACTAATGATGCAATGTGATATCCATACTCGGGTGCGTCGGGTCATATGACCCCATCTAAAGATATTTTATTAAATAGATTTGTTCATATTAGCTATGTTCATGTTAAAGTTGTGAATGTCAATTGGTAAAGTATATGGACTCAAACCATCGATCTCATGACTATTAAGCCTGAACAACGGCCCACATGCGCTCAGTAGATAGCTTCACACTATTGTACACTTATACACACATGAGAATAGACTATGTATCATTTGAGAGCCATGTAAGGGTTGGAAAATCATTTTCATATATCACTTTCTTTCTCTAGTTCTTTCTTCTCCCTAAGACAATATGACATCATTTGTTTCTTTCATTGAGAGCTAGAATACATCAAATAAGATCCTTCAAACCTACTACACCTCAAATAAATTAGGAGTGTCACCACACTTCGAGCTAGTGGGAAACGCACTGCCCCTCGACCGAGCACCTCGGTCTAAGTGGACCAAACAATGCCACACTCCGGGCCGATCGGGGGCAACCTTGACCCCTTGAGCAAGTAGATCAGACCAATCCAAAATAACGGTACACCAGATAATCTATTAGATGAGACCAATTTAAAATACATCAGATAATCTATCAGATCGAACCAATTTAAAATACCTGTATGTCAATAAACTATGAGATCAGACCAATTTTAGAAAGATGATGAGACCAATTTAAAAAAGAAGATCAGACCAAATTAAAGCGACCAGAAAATTATGATGAAAGTGCAGGTAGGATTAGGGGTGGGCAAAAATACCGAAATATCGGTATACCGCACTTATCGTACCGAAAAATACCGGAAAATACCAAAATATTGGTATACCGTCATTTTCGGTACGGTATCATACCGTACCGATCTATTTTGGTACGGTAACGGTAAATGTTTTCAAATACCGCGGTATACCGGAATAATACCGTACCGACTCCCTACTCAACAATTACTTTTAATTCTAATACTTCCTCCGTTCTATAATTCTTGCAACATTGTGATTTTTACACTATTCACAGATCGTACTTTGACCATGATTTTCTACTAATATACATAATCAAATTATTACGTATAAAATGTTATTGAACTCTTATCAATGTGAATTTCCAAAATATCAACTTTTTATAATGTTTACTAATACATAATTAAATATAATTACAATCAAAGTTGTGCATTGGCAAACGTGAAAGTCAAACTGTTGCAAGAATTATAGAACGGAGGATAGTATATTGTAGAAATCCATTACAATTTTGAAGCCCGAAACTAATACTTTTTTTTTCGAGGGTCCAAAATTAATACTTAAGTTGGTTACAAATACAAAAATACAAAAATACAAAAATAAAGGCCCAATTTCTCAAACCCACTATAACCTTATAGGCTTCTACTACGCTAACCTTAATGACTAATGTGCAAATGTCAAGAAACAAGTCCATCTTGTTCCAAGATCTTGCAAGTCGTGATGGTTGAGCCGCTAAGTAGCTGACAAGTGAAGAGAGATACACTTATGTGACAAGTGTATCTACATAGGGATTCCGCGAGTCGAGACACACAACTTTATCCGAAAGTCTTATTCAAATTTTAAAAAATTATAAAAATGACTAAATACACAATATCATATTAGAAATAAATGATTTTATATCCATGTTGTTTGAATAGTTTTATTTATTTTTGTTAGAGATCACTGTTGATTTAATTATATCTATATTGTTCAAGTTATTTTAGGAGAATGTGTTACTTTTTAATATGCGGAATGTTGAACTGCTTAAATATACTAATAATAATAATTATTGTTCAATATTGAATTGACATCAATAGATTATTAATTGTATTTCGTAACATTTTAATAATAGATTTAACATGTCACTAGTAATAACGATTTAGTATATTTCGTTAGTCTATGATAATTTTTTGTATTGAGAGACATGCACGGTAATTTACCGATACCGTACCGTTATCGAACCGAAACTTCGGTATACCGAAATGCGGTATACCGAAACTTCGGTAAGGTAAAAGTATGCAAATTTTGCATACCGAAAGTTTTGGTACGGCAAAGGTATGAGAAAAAATATAAGATATACCGTACCCTATGTAGCACCGATACCGGTACGCGGAAACGTGGAAACGCGGAAACGGGTACGGGGATACGTCAAAACCAAAAAAAGTAGGATACGGATACGGGGCCATATTTATAAATATTAAAAGTTATGGGGGTGTATTTACAAATATTAAAAGTTATAGGGGTCTATTTATAAATATTAAAAATAGATTATTTTTTTGAATATATATATAAATACACACATATAATATCCTATGATGTCTACCCATTCATTGCATTGAATCATTTTCCTTTTTCAAGATATTTAATAATAAATTCATAATATTTCTCATGTACACTAGTGCATCTCGAAATAGAAAATGTAGTCAATAAGTCATTAATTTAAAATGAGAAATTAGTCAAACAAGTACAATCTTAAGATTAAAAGTGCAAGTACCCACTTCGAAGTATGTGTTAATGACTTAATTCGGATATAGTCATATAGGCCCATTATTTGATTACCAAGTAAAATGTAGTTTTAGGTTTTCATTTTTTTTAGAATTTTATTAAGTAAATTTTGGGATTTTTTTTTTTAAAAGTTGATACGGGTATCCGTCAGGATTCGAGTATCGGAAACTTTCAAAAAATTACAAAAAAAATGGAAACTTTTAAAAATTACAGATACGGCCCGGGAATGTACGGTACGGGTATCCTAGAGTATCGGATACGGGAACGTATCCGATACGCCGATACGCTACCCTAGGGAAGTATCGGTGCTTCATAGACCGTACCGAATCCCCTAGGTAGGATGCATTACCGACGCAGGTAAGTTGGGGTTCGACAAAGTTGTAGCCTCAGAATGTCCACGCTTCAACCCCACCCACTACTAGTTTTGCTCCACTTTTGTCACACCCGCCCAACTTCAGGCACCTCTAACACTTCCTTCCGCGCCGCCCATCGCCGCCGGTGGAACCCTAAGTTTTTTCTTCCCTTTTGATTTCCCTTGTCTCGATGAGTGAGAAGACTCCGACTCAAACAGTATCCCTGCCCGATTCGGATTCAGGACCGCCAACTGAAGCACGGACGGAGTCGCCTTCCCCAACTGCAGATTCTGGGCTTCAATCGGAATCGGAACCGACCCTTGTTGCCGGCGCGCCACTTGATATTTCTCGCAATCACTCGAACCCTTCTAAAATCCCAATTCGGCCCAGGAAAATTCGTAAACTATCGGCCGCTACCTTTGTCGAAGATCAGAGTCCCCCAGAAACCGTCCTCGACCCCACTTCCCCCTCTTCACTCATTCCCCTCACCTCTTCCGCCTCAACGTCCGGCGCTTCCACCGTTACCACATTGGCGAGCTCCAGGAATCGCCGGAAAGCAGTTACCCAGATATCCAGGCTTTTGCCCCAAATTGTTAAACCGTTATCAGCTGATGGAGAAATTGAGCTTGCCATTCGCCATCTCCGAGCTTCAGACCCTCTCCTTGTGTCCCTGATTGACACTCTCCCTCCGCCAACATTTGAAACGCGTCACCCACCCTTCCTAGCTCTGGCGAAGAGTATTCTTTACCAGCAACTGGCATATAAGGCTGGTACATCAATATACACACGATTCATATCCCTCTGCGGTGGAGAGCTAGCTGTTCATCCTGATACCGTTCTCTCCCTCTCTGCTCAACAGCTCAAGCAAATTGGAGTCTCTGGCAGAAAGGCAAGCTACCTTTATGACCTGGCAAACAAGTACAAATCTGGGATTCTGTCCGATGACACTGTTGTTAAAATGGACGATCGCTCACTGTTTACAATGCTGTCAATGGTTAAGGGAATCGGCTCTTGGTCTGTTCACATGTTTATGATCTTTTCACTTCACAGACCTGATGTTCTGCCCGTAAGCGATTTGGGGGTAAGAAAAGGGGTACAATTGCTGCATGGACTAGAGGATTTGCCAAGGCCATCTCAGATGGAGCAGCTGTGTGTGAAATGGAAACCCTATCGGTCAGTAGGGGCATGGTACATGTGGCGGTTCGTAGAAGGAAAGGGGACACCGGCCTCTGCTGCAGCAGCATTAGATGGTAGTGCTGTGCAGCCATTGCATCAAATTGATCACGTGCAGGATGCACAGGAACAACACCAATTGCAACTTATGGAGCCCATTAATGGCATTACGAATCTTGGGTACTATTCCCCTTGCGGTTAGTCTAGTAGGTTTCTTTTAATTTTATCTTTTGGAGTAATATCTTTTATGTTTATTTTATCTGATAAGTAAATAATTTTCATTTTTATCTATGCATCCGTGCACTACCCATTTGCCTTCCTTATTGTTGCCACTGGTAATTAGTTCTACTTTCAATATATTTTGTTATTTTTGTACGACTGTGACAGTGAGAGGTTAATATTAATTTGTTAATCTTTCCTACAAAATACTACTGATGGTTAGTAATCATTAGTGGTCAGTAAAGAGTATTCTAAAGAGCCAAATAACGTGGATCTATTTGCCAAAATAGCAGGGTATCCTACTATGGTGAGTGTTCTGAACTTCTTAATTACTAAAAATCTGGATTTTCTTGCCCCTGCCTCTTTGTTTGCAAATTTCGAATAAGACCACTAAATCACTAATCACGAACTCAGACATTCAATATGATGTATATTAGGTGGCTATAAGAAATTATGATTAAATTCAGATTATATTGGTGTACAGTAATTCTTTATATTAACATAAATCACACTGAATTTCTACAAGAAAGCTGGTAATATGAAAAAGGATTTTGTCAAGGCCATCCTTTTTTTTTTACCCCAGGGGGCATCGGGGGAGGGGGTCTGGGGGGCCTGGGCTAAACTGGGATCAATCTCACTCCATTGAGAATTGAGCCCGGGACCTCCCATAAGGGAGAGTAAATCGGCGACCAGCTGGACTGGATCGCTTCCTCTGTCAAGGCAATCCTTTTGAGTCTTGAGATAGAAGTAATGTTCTAAAAGGTGGCCTTGGATATCACCTTCAATAAAGAAATTCTATTTTTTAATTCCTTTATCTTGTGATTAGGCAGTAACTATCACGGTCAATGTCTAAAAAGAAGTTATATCAATAATACCACCAGCTCTTTATGGATATCATGTTTGTTCATATTTTTATTACTTCCTCCGTCCTTTTATAATCTCCTCTTTTGACTTGTCATTCTTTTAAATAAATAGGAATATGTGTAGCTGAATTTTTTAGGAGAGGAAATAAATCAAATATAATTCTTCCCTTAAAAGGAATGTGAATATAAATTTGGAACGGACAGAAAAGCAAAGAGGTAATTTTATTTTGCATTAGTATTAGTGCACTGCGTGCTTAGATGATAGATCAACCAAGAATCCAGAACAATTTACAGAGAGATTAACAAGGAGGAAACACTGAACACTTTATTGATGAAGATGATCAATTACAGGAGAATCAGTAACAATGGCCGAAGCCCCCAATGGCCGAAGCCCCCAAAGAGAGAGATTATTAGTCTCTAACTTTCCCAGTCCAAAACAAAGTCTAAAACACCTACTACTCCCAGCTTTATTCATTATTTTTTGGCTTGAGACTATGATGGAATAAAGCAAAATGGCTCACTAAATTGTCTGCGCTTCTTTGTTATGAAGCAGCGGTTAGTTCATGCAATTTTGGACGCAATTTTCACTATGGGTCATCCGGAAACAGTCTCTTTGTGCTTTAGCACAGAGGTAAGACTGCGTACATTTGACCCCCCTTACCCCACCGTAGGTGGGAGCCTTTGCGGCACTGGGATAAATGAAAATGAAATGAAATGATAGTATTCGAACTAACAGAATGTAGTTATTAGCTCAAACAGAAATATAACTACACTAACTCTTCTATTTAATATTCTAATAGATCGATCCCTATCAATACTCCCCCCCTAAACATCCACCATGCCCTCAAGGTGGTTGATAGGAAACAACCAAGATCTTCTGCTTCCTCTTCATCCTGGCGCTTCTACCTTCCCAATATCTCACTTGTTTCTAAGCCATGAACTTCCCTACTTGACTTATCCTTCTGACTTCTTCTAGCAAAAGCATCAATAGATTCTCTACCTTCAAAGCCTCATTACCACTTGGGGAATTTTGATCACGCCGGAACTGGGCTTTACTAAACACCAACTGCTCCATGTTTCCTTTGTTAATAGCTTTAACTACCAGATATAACTCAAATCCTTGAATTTCATTTGCTTCATTCTTTGAAATTGTAACCTCTGTCATGTATTTCTGGGGACTGTATGGTCTGATTTTGGGTATGCTGGTTCCTTCTATGATATTTATTGCATGATCACAAGGTTCTTCAGAAAGCAGATCTAGAATTGATTTGAAGACTTCAGGAAATTCTTCCACCATCCTGTTCCCGGGTTCATCCTGAGTTGTTATGTGCTGTTTTTCCGGCTCTATACTTTTACAGTATCGCACATATCTCCCCTGTGTCTTCTGTGAGATGTTAGTGACAGTTTTCAATGGAACATCCATCTGATTTCGTGCATTTTCTCCTTGGATAAAATAATTCTGTTCTTGTTCTCTCCATCTTAAAGTCTGGTTCTGAAAGTTAACTTCCATATCTCTTAGGCCAGTTAATCATTCCATTCCGTATCTCTTAGAATGTTAATTCCTTGTATATTCAATGTTACTTCTTCACATTTGCCATTGTTGGGAAGAAATTCTCCATTCCCTATTTGCACTTCAAAACCCTTAATGCAACTAAATGTTATCTTCCATTTATTCACAACCTTCTGTGAGATGAAGTTGTGGGTAGCTCCACAATCAATCAAAATATTCACCTTCTTTTCCTCAGTCTGCCATTTCAGATTCCCCATGACTTTGAATGTTCTCATGGAGAGTATTCCTTCCTTGTTCAATTCAGCCAATTGCATAGTCTTAACTTCCATATGGATTCCTTCTTCTCTATCCTTGCTAGAGTCAACATCAGAGTCCTACCCCTTAGATTGTTCAACAAGTATCATTTTAAAATTTTTCATACTGCAAATATGGCCTCTATTCCATTTGTCACCACATTTAAAACATAGTCCTTTTTTACTCCGCTCTAATAATTCATTCTGTGTTAACCCGATGCTTATCTGCTTGTAAACTGAATTTGATCCTTCCTCCTGCTTCTTGCTATCATCTGGGTTCTTCACCGATTGATTTGTAGATGTCAGATTATAACTATTTCTACTACCATCCCCCCATTTATGATAGCTCTGTCCTGTTAAATTTGTCAAATTTGTCTTCCGGACCTTCTTCCCTTCCTCCTTGTTTCTTCTGGACAATATGATAGATACCTCGAGATAACAGACAACAACAATCGATCCACAATACTATCGATCACCAATACAGTAAGAATTCTAGCTCAGAAAAGAAGGAGATAATACTCCAACTTCCCAGTCCAAGAAAAAGTGTTTACAGCCTGCCTTCCCTCTGCAGGAATTATACTATTTATATCCTTCCACAAACGGAAGGTAGTTATTAGTAATACCAGCCAATTAACTCATAACTAACTAGTCTACTTTGACCTTCTAGAATACACTTGCCCAAAGTACGTATTCTTATTAAGTAAACTAGCCGGGTTCTTATCAACGCCCCCTCCTTGAACAACCAACTTGTCCTCAAGTTGGAATTCTGGGAACTGATCTTGAAGCATTTTAACATCCTCCCATGAGTCTTCAAAGTGAGGAAGTTCCTTCTGTACAAGGACCCCCTTCTTCCCTTCCTGACTTATCCTGATGTCCCTCACCTCTTCAGGTCTCACTTGCAGCTCACACCCTTCTGTGAGGCAATTTGGGAGATTCTGATAATTCACAGTTGGTTTCAGCACTTTCTTTAATAGAGATATATGGAATACAAGGTGTATCCTACTGCCTTCTGGTAATTTGAGTTTAAAAGCTATAGAGCTTAGCTTTTCAATGATCTCATAAGGTCCATAAAATCTTGGACTAAGCTTTTGATTGATTTTTTAGCCAAACTTTTCAACTTGTAGGGCTGTATCTTCAGAAAAACTTGATCTCCTACTTCCAGTTTCTCCTCCCTTATGTGTTTGTCTGCCTGTTGCTTCATCAAATTTTGTGCCCTGGCTAAATTCTCCTTTTGTTTAGTCAACATCATATTTCTTTCCGCTGTCAGCTTTGCTACTTCCTCCACTGCAGTCATATTAACATCACCTCTAATAATAGGGGAAGGTGATTGCCCAAACAAAGCCTGAAAAGGAGTACCCTTTAATGAACTATGGTAGTTTGTATTGAAGCAATACTCAGCCCAAGGAAGCCATTTCACCCCTGCCTAGGCCTCTGACCAGTTAAGCACCTCAAATAGGTCTCAAGACACCTATTTACCACTTCAGTCCGCCCATCACTTTGTGGATGATAGGCATTACTATATTTTAGTTTTGTTCCAGCTAACTTGAACATTTCAGACCAGAAGGAGCTCAGGAAAAGGCTGTCTCTGTCACTGACAATGGATTTGGGAAATCCATGAATCTTCACCACCTCTTGCACAAAGACTTCTGAAACTCCTTTGGCATTGAAAGGGTGTGCCAAAGGAATGAAGTGTGAAAACTTTGTCAACCTGTCCACCACAACTAAGATAGTGTCCTTGCCCTGTGATCTTGGTAACCCTCCAATGAAGTCCATACTGATGTCTGTCCACACCTGATATGGAATTGGTAAAGGTTGCAGCAGTCCTGCAGGCTTTAAAGCCTGATACTTGTTCCTTTGGCAGATCTCACACCCCTGAATGTAATCCTTAATATCAGACTTCATTCCCAACCAAAAGAACATGCTTGAAATCCTCTTCATAGTTCTGAAATAGCCAGAATGTCCTCCTATGGCTGAATCATGATACTCTTTGAGAATAGTCAGTATCTTGGGAGATCCTTTTGGCAACACCATTCTTCCTTTATAGTATAATAATATTCCACCCTTTTTTCTGTAGTCTTGGCACTGATCTGGCTGAGTCAACACTCTCTGAATCACCTCCTTCCATTTAAGGTCCTTCTCCGGTTCTTCTTCCAATCCATCCCATTCCTGGCAGACTACTGAAGATAAAGCATAGGTAGATTTTCTAGAGAGAGCGTCTGCTGCTTTATTTTCAATCCCGGGTTTATACTTAATAATAAAGTTGTACCCCATCAACTTGGTTATCCATTTTTGCTGATCTTCCTCCACAACAG